GATTGTCTTGAAGCCTATAATTTTTCCCCATTTACTCTTTAAGTCATAAAGTTCAAATTACTTCAAAATGAAATGGGTATGTCATAGTACCAACAAATCAAAATAATTTTTATTTGATTTATGTGGTCAAATTTTTTAACTTGATTTATGTGGTCACCCTACTCACATACTATTTGTTACTTTCCTATGGCAATTGGATCCCTTCCAAGGATCTACCAAAGAAGAAAAGGATAATGAAAAACTCACACTGTCCAGTGATGTGAGAGAATAAGGGTCAGGGATTAAAAAAAAAAAAAAAAAAGAAAAAGAAACAGACTGATTAGCACATGACAAATCTGAAAGTGAAGATTTTTCTAATGATTCCTTCAGAGATGTAGTATAAAAAGTAAACACTGGCTGGGTGCGGTGGCTCAAGCCTATAATCCCAGCACCTTGGGAAGCTGAGGCAAGTGGATCACAAGGTCATGAGATCAAGACTATCCTGGCCAACATGGTGAAATCCCGTTTCTACTAAAAATACAAAACTTAGCTGGGCATGGTGGCGCACACCTGTAGTCCCAGCTATTCAGGAGGCTGAGGCAGGAGAATTGCTTGAACCCAGGAGGAGGAGGTTATAGTCAGCTGAGATCGCGCCACACTGCACTCCTGCCTGGGGCCTGGCGATGGAGAGAGACTGTCTCAAAAAAAAAAAACCAAAACACCACTGGATTCATCTCTTTGCAATTTTCAACCTGAAATTGCTAATTCAGGCTCCTACTTTGTACTTCATTTGGAACCTATCAAATTCTCATCCTTCTCTCCAGTTGAACCCTCTTACTGAAATTTCTTATGGATTTCCTCCTTATTGGTCATTCCCACTGCCATCCCCCTTGGGTTCTAACATATTTGTGTTAGCACCTTAATACTCCTCCTCTACTCACTTTGTCCTTCATGTTCATCCACTTTGTGGCCTCCGAGTTCAGACCTTCTGAAGGTGAGGAAGAACCCTTGGGACCTTTCCTTTTGCAGAACACCAGTGATTTTTTAGGCTGTTTCTACAGACTCTTTCACAGCCACCCTTCCTGATGGATCTCTCTACCTGAATTTTCCCTCTTCCTATATGTTCTGAGAGAGTTGGCAGTTTTATTCCCCTAAAATATGAATCTGATCTTTTTTCTTCCACTTTCCCTGAACATCAAGTTCTATGTATAAATGTATATCGCTATAATCTCTCTGTCTAATTTCTCCTCTCTGCTCCAGACAGGACAATCCCCCTTATGGACCTCTAACACATTATGTTTCTCTCCATTTCATGCTTCTAAAATCTACTTTCTCCCTGCAGTCGCTTTCCTCCAACTCACATTAATCTTGATTTTCAGTTCATGTTGCACTCATTGCTAATCCCACACACTACTATCATTCACTATGCTATACTACCCTGGGCTCAAATTGTGCAACAGTTAGCACTTTGTTTCATCAAAATGCAATAACTGCTGGTTTACTATTCTTTCGTCTTCTGATTGTTTTGAGCATGGGTCTTATCTCTCCAACCAGACAGTAAATTCATTATAAGAAGGGGCACTGTCTCATAGTCTCTTATATCCCTTACTTCCTAATATAATGTCAAGTAATTGACTGTAACTTTTAACTCTTGCCATCCTCATTTATACTGGTTGGAAAACAACAAAAATATTTAGTAAAAGTAGTTTAATAAGATAATTGACAGCAGATAGCACTCTATTATGTATCTATTTTACAAAGGCTGAATTTGGTAATGAATCTATAGTTAATATTTAAATGGAAGCTAGTTCACTAACATATGCTGCTTTTTGAACTATAATTCTGAATATTTTGTGATCCTTTCATAGTTAAAATAAATTTTAGAAATCCACCTAAGACTTCTTTCCTGAACTCCAAATTCATTTATCCAATTGTCTACTCACCATCTCCATGTGGAGAACCAACTGACTTTTCCAAAACTTAGTATCTATCCTCTTCCTTCAAAAAAAAAAAAAAACTAGTTCATCAATTTCCACTATCTCAACTGACCACAACTTCTATTCTCTCAGGCAAGAAGTGATCATGAATCCTCTCTTTCTCTTAAACCCCCATGTCTAATACACCAGCAGAATCAAAAGATATCCATGGTACAACCAATTCCCATCACACTCATTGTTACCACCTTGACATGAGCCACCATCATCTCTCATCTGTATTACTGCAATAACATCCTATGTGGTCTTCCTGCTTTCACCCTTGCAAAACACTCCTCTGCTCAAAATATCTCAATGCCTTCTCATCCCACACACAGTAAAAGCTAAAGACCTTGCAATGGCCTACTAGACATTCATGAATTGGGATACATTATATTTCCAACCAAATTTCCTGTTAACCCTCTCTAAGTCCCAGCTTTCTAACCACACTAGCCTGGTTCCTAAAGCATGGCAGGTACGGCCCACCACAGGGCATTTGCACAGGCCTTTCCCGATATGCTTGTCCCATAAGTATCCTCACCACTAACTCCTACCACTTCAAGACCTTGCTCAAATGTTGCCTTCTCACTGAGCCTACCTTAATGGCCCAATTCTAAATTGCAACATCCCCTGCCTTAGCAATCTTTATTCTCTTCCCTGCTCTATTTTCTTTCCATAACATTTATCACTGTGGCTAATGAGAAAGTGCCTCTCAGACATTGAACTACAGGAGCTTAATTGACCCAAGAGTCCCAGCTGTTTCACTCTGAAATCCATTCCTATGTTTGCTTCAAGGCTATGCTTCCCAGGGGCAACTCCCAGCCCGTGATTGAGCATGGCAAGAATGCTAACATTCCTGAGAGACACTGGACCACTCTGGTTGCTGACAACTGAGTGGTCTCATCATGTGTTTATTCATTCGTTTAGTTGACAATCCTAATAATTGCTAATGTTTTTTAAGTGTTTGCTATTCATTCTGCACATATTTATTGAGAACCTCTGATGTGTCAGGCACTGTGTTAGGCATTTGGGATACACGGATGAACAAAATTTCTCCTCTCCTGGAACTTACATTCTGGTAGACAATAAAAATTTAAGTAAACAAAATAGAGTAGATGCAGAAGTGATTATGTTATTCTGGATCCTATGAGAAACAAATGCCAAGATGGGTTAAATGTACGGAATTTTACCAGGAGAAATGACTGTAAGAGATAACATAGGAGGATAGGCAGAAAGGCTGGGGCTGGGCATGTCTAGGAGGCCAGGTGGAAGAGAGAGGGAGGCAAAGCAGAGTGGAAACTGCCTAACCTGTAGTGCAGTCCAAGGAAGATTGTCAAAGCCACCAGAGCTCTGGCTCCAGGATTCCACTCAGGTCCCCCAGATCTTCCCAGCTCCCGCCTTTTCTGCCTACCACCCTCATGAAGATACCAATCAGTTGTTGCAACTCCGCTCCCCCCTAAATTCCCTGATCCTCTTTTTTTCTCTTGTCTTCCCCTCCACTAGCAAACTCTTAGGTTTTCCTCTAGCAGAAATGAGATTTGAGAGGTAAATTGTTTTTAGGAAAAGATCCAGACTAATAATTGGATGACTGCCCGTTTGTTCTGGGCAGCAAATATGCAATTCCGACTGAGATATTTATCACTACAGCTCTCTCGTCTTTAATTTCAGCCAGGATGCACAAATAAACAAAATCAGAAGTTTTGAAGGTTTGATTTTTCTTTTAAGCTAAATATCCATCCAATAGTAATCAAACTTGGCCCACATCCAAACAACCCTCCTATTCTCTGGTCTCCCAATGTATCCCTTCTGATGATGTATGAGCAAGGACAAACTATTCTCAAGTGTAATTTCAGACTCTTAAAAGATGGGTATCACTTTATAGTGACTGGCTTGGGATGAGGGCTCTGTGGTTGGGGAACTCCAACTGACAGTGTGGGGAAACCTCAGTAGGGCCAGTAAGTTTCTCCAGAAGACATTCCCACACCATTCTGCCTGAGGCTCTTACACCCAGCTGTAGTGTTCCAGGAGGTAGATGGAGGAGGAGGCTGGGGGCCCAACTCCTTCTCATAAAGACTGACTTAACCTTCAGCCTGTGCCTCACATTGCCCTGTGTCCTTGGGCAGTCCTTGATGAATGACAGTTACACAGGCAGGCAGCTGGAGTTCCAATCCTGGCTTTGCTACTTACTAGCTAGATGGCAAATTACCTCTCTGAGTCTGTTTGCTCATTTTTTAAGTAGGGATTATAGCCCTTATCTCTCAGCACTTTGCAAGTATGCATTTGCCTATAGACAGAATCCAACAAATATTAGCGATTATCATTACTAATATCAAAACGGCAAAGGAAATTAAACCATATGTTCAATGTTTGGGTTGTTCTTTTAACCTCTTCAGCTGAACGTTGATATGAAAGTGTTTAATAGCATTCAAACACGTAATAATAAGGTAGTTGGTAATTAGGATTTACTTCAGCAAAATTTAATTAACCGGTAGGGGAAAGAAAACAAACAGAGCCAATTGCACAGCTTCCCAGCCTCTGCTTTGACCTAAGAGTCTTACTGGGCTTGCCTGCCTTTTTCTAAAGGGCAGGGGAATATCCACACAGTGCCGGGCTGCAGGCAGTTACAGAATGTCTCATCACATTTTCAAAGGCTCACTCCTTTCTCTTGCGTAACTGGTGAGGTCAAAATGGGCACCTTCCTGAAAGCCGAGAGTGTCATTCCTGAACATCGTCCAAGAAAGAACTACATTCCATAGAAATCCAAGTCAAGCAACAACAAAAGGTGGCACTTGTGTGTAAGCCACAGTAAACACCTTGGTGGGCCAACTTCTTGATATAGTCACATTAACACCTTCGATTTCTCCATGACCTAAAGATGCCAAAGTTCGCAACAAATTGCTGAGCAATTTGGTGGGGGTGGGGGTGGAAGCAGGAGAACAAACCTATGTATACTTACCACTACATGAAGTTTAAAGTAACTATAGATTGTTCTCTTATTATCGAAAGCCTATCAGTGGAAGAAAGGCAAACAAGTGACTTGGCACTTCTGCCTCAATCAAGGTAAGGCTCTCCCCCTAGAGCTAGAGAGCAAGTTAATGAGCTTTGTACAAATACACACAGACCCACACATCCGGGGATGGCTGTGTGTTGCTAGAGCAGAGGCTGATTAAACACTCAGTGCGTTGGCTGTCTGTGCCACTCCTGGAAAATAATGAATTGGGTAAGGAACAGTTAATAAGAAAATGTGCCTTGCTAACTGTGCACATTACAACAAAGAGCTGGCAGCTCCTGAAGGAAAAGGGCTTGTGCCGCTGCCGTTCAAACTTGTCAGTCAACTCATGCCAGCAGCCTCAGCGTCTGCCTCCCCAGCACACCCTCATTACATGTGTCTGTCTGGCCTGATCTGTGCATCTGCTCCGAGACGCTCCTGACAAGTCGGGAATTTCTCCATTTCTCTACTGGCGCAAAGAGCGGATTTCTCCCTGCTTCTCTTCTGTCACCCCCGCTCCTCTCCCCCAGGAGGCTCCTTGATTTATGGTCGCTTTGGACTTGCTTCCCCGTCTGCCTGTCCTTGACTTCTAGGATGGAAGAAGCTGAGCTGGTGAAGGGAAGACTCCAGGCCATCACAGTAAGTCTACATACAGTTACAACTCATTAAGGTGGTTGCTTAGAGGAAGGCAGACCGTGGCCGGCTGCTCCTGTCGCTGAGCCCTTGTAAGTGGAAAAACAGAGCTGTCAGCCTTCATGGACGCGTCTCTGTTTCTCTCTTAACCCTTATGACCCTCTGTAACTCTTGGGCTTCAGAACCTGAGCGCAGGGCAAATGTTCTTGATTTTCAAAAAGGCTGTGCCTGCATTTTAAACAACGATCAAAAGCTGTTAAGGCAGTGTGATTAACTGTCTTTCACACTCTGTGCGCCTTAGAAATGCAGTTTTTCCTTACATGTCCATTTGACAAGCATTAGATCAAAAAACAGATCTCCAACTTGGAAACTTTTTAAAGCCATGAATGCATCAAAAAGTTAGAATTTCTTTTAAAGATAGAGAGAAAAAGAAATTTTAAAAACGACCTGAAACTTTTTATTTGTAGTGTGGTAGTATGTTCCAGAAAACCTAAGATAAATAAAATGAATGTTAGTATACGTAATTTAAGCGTTAAACAAGAGAAAAGTAGGTAAAAGCACGTATCAGATTAATTCTAAGATATCAGTTTCCAGCAGAGTCACAAACTGAATAAGATCCTGATAAAGGAATGCAGTGCATGCAGTGGATTTGGAAAATATTTTGTTAATACCGAGAAGAAAATTCGTGCATTTTTTTATGTTCTGGAAAAAGTCAAAGCAAGATATAAATAACTTTTCTTAAATAATCCACCTTTAATTTTATAAAACCCTGTATTTGGCAGTAACTTGGAAATCTGTGTCACAATCATTTATCCTTAGCTACAACTTTTAATATAATTGTTTTAAGGAAATAAAAAAAGATCTTTGGAAAGCAATTCCCAATTTCTCAGCATTTTCTGCCACTGACATTAGGTGTAGGAAAAAAATTAGTACTTTTTAAAAAACTGATGCTAGATCAGGGATTTTTTGTTGTTCTTCAAATTCTCATTGCACAACTAATTATGCTAATCCTAATTTAGATTTTTTTACTAAATTGATAACAATGTCTTAGTTTCACCCAGAAAACATTCAATAAATTGAATTGTCTTCGTAGCCAATGGTAAGATACCAGAAGTCTATTGATAAGGCTGGCACTTTTCCATAAAACACTGCTTTGTTAAATGTCTAGCTTCTAATTATTGTATCTTCCTCTCTTCAGAAGACCTTGGTCGGGACTGTTTGTTTGTTCTTTTTTTGTTGTTAAACTCAGCCACCATCTCAGCTGTCCTGCTTTAAGGAACAGGAACGCGGCTCTGCTCTGTTGTTTTTGGCATGGGCCTTTTGCATTACAGCTGTTGTCTAAAGGTTACTTTATCAGACTGCATGAGTTGTGTGATCACAAGCTCCACTATTTCTAATGCTTATATCTCCTGATTAACGAACTGAAATACACAAGTAGACCCTTGTTCTGGATGTTCCTCTTTCACTTGGGGCACACCCTTGCTCAAGCCCTTTTTCCCTCCCGTGCACCTTATAACTCTTACCAAAGCCGCACATGTTCCAAAGATATGGCTGTATACAGCTATTTCTAATGCTAGGAATCTTAGTCACTGAAGGTTCCAAGTGCAAAGAGAGATAGAAAATCATCATAATGTCTTAAAAGCCATTAAGAGAAGAAGTAGGTTCCTGAATATACAGATGTATGCTTTTTTGAGGATTAAAAAAAAATTGGATTGTTCCATCAGCCTGAATATATCCCATTAGAAAGGACTAAACAAATCTCCAAAGTAAGATCACAAGTAATTCTAGCTTGGAAGTAATATACTTCTATAAAGGTTGTTGGGAAAAGTTTATGGGAACAAATTTCTCATAAACCAGCCTACACCTCACCAGGCTTAAATCCAGTCACATTTGTCACCACCTAGAGGAAAAGTGGAGCAGTGGTGTGTCCATGGAAACAACACATCCACTCTCCTCCCTCTTGGACGCCCTGGGACATGCCAGCTTTCCCTGCCTTTGCTCTTGCTTTGCCCAGGAAGCCACCTCAGCTACTCTCTGTCTCCTTAGGAAAATAAAATTGCAGAGTATGCAGAGAGTTTGCAAGAACTGTTTCATTTTTGGAAGGACTTAAGCCTCAGAATCTCCAACCTAGACTAAAACTCAGAGAATATATTCTCATTTTAGCTTCTTCCTCCTATTTACCCACACAGAAATTTTTTTTATATACTTCAAGAATGAAATCAGAGGGTAATTGCCCAATGCACCCGGACATAGCAACACATAGACCTCATTCTGGAAGCAAAAAAAAAAAAAAAAATTTACACTCTAGGATACATTTGATTTTTGTATTATAATGTGTTTCTCCAATTCCTGGCTATGAAATGAAATAATCTTCACAGTTGTATTTATTCTACCTGGTTTCAAGTGCCTAAAAAGTTATTTTCACTGCAAAGAATTGAAAAATTAAATGTATATGCCTAGAATTTGACAGAACCAAGATCCAAGTGCCAGTCTTTTTCTTTTCCCCTTAAAAAAGAAAAGAAAAGAAAGATTAAACATATTAAGTAGTTGAAATGTAACACTTAGGCTCTCAAATTGAAAACTAAATTACTATAGTGATGCCATTTATTTCTCATATCAGATCAGTAAATTAAATTTTAGATTAGTCAGATGTCTTCTCAAAGATTTAAGAGAGTAACGGCAAAATTATGAAAGTACACAGAAACAACCGTTCAAGGGTAGGTGCTTCAGGGCAGGAGCTTTTGGGTGCACCAAATGTAGATTCTATTTACACAATTACTTTCATGTTCTTCCATGCACCAACTCTTCCCTTACTAAATTAATGGTCAAAGTACCCCTTTGCCTAAAAGTTCAGTCTTCAACTATAACTTAAAAACAGGGCTGCTTAAGATTAATTAAATATTATATTTGCTCTTTAAAATGTCTCTTGAGGCCCTTTTCAAGTCAGTACACACTTTAACAGATAGCTGATTTTTATACAAAAGGAGAGCTAATTGGAACTCAATCGTATTTTGAAATAGACTAAGAATTTGAAATTCACCTTTAGCAATACTGGAACTGAGGATACCAATGGCTCCAGCATTCTCGAGAAGCAGGAGATGAAGGACTGAAGGTATCACTAACAGAGTTATCCCTACAGAGTTCCTCTCTGAAAGTGAACGTGGCCCACACTGAAGAACAATGAAAAGGCCCAGGGGTCTCTCCTCAGAAACACAAAGATCCCCTTAGGAGAGTAACATTCCATATACTCTTGACATCTCCTCCACAGCTAATACATTTTCTTACCTCCCTGCCCACAGCAACACTGGAAAATATCATTACAAATATGGATATGCTCAAACTGGAAGACTAGATCTTAAACTGTCTTGTGATCATAGACTCAGTTCTATTTGAAGGATGAACTCAGAGGAATTTTAAGAACTAGAATCCACTTTCAGAGAACAGAGTCCACTGAGTAAAAGAGATTAAGAAGAAAGCTGACATTTTTATTCTCCTCCAGACTTACCTTTGTTATCAACACAGTCTCTCCTGCATTTATGCAATTAATGGTCATTAGGCACCTACTGTGCACCAAGTCTTGTGCATTTAAATGAAAAGAAGTGAAAATAAGGGGAATCTGAAGTGTGAGGAGTGGGGATGGGAGTGCGTTTGTGGGTTTAAGTAGAGTGGTCAGGGTGGGCTTCACAGAATGTGATGTTTCAGACTAGATGTGAAGGAGGTGAGTTCTGTCAAAAGTTAGACAATAAAAATAATCACAAGTACAAGCACCTGCCTAGGACTGCCTCCATTTGGAAAGGAGCCTTGTAAAGTCCTGACTCTGGAATTTGAGCAACAGAGCCAGATTTTTCTGGCCAAAGCTGCTCATGAGCGAAAAATAAAAATACAAACTAAGGAGCTCTCACATTTCCCCAGATCCACTCCCTACTGCTTTCCACTCCCAAATACCCAAATAAATGTTTCTTGACTTGTAAATGTACGAATTTAAGAGTCACGGAGTTCTTTACATAAAACAGAAATCTCCAAAGTACGAAGATCAATATTAAAACAATAACATGAACACAGATGGGTTCTAGTTATTTCTTTAGCACATGGTCCCTGTTACAGGTGTCACTGGGCACTCTACCTCATCTTGTTCCCTTTTTGTCAGTATTGGGGACCTTCTAGCACTCAGTAAGACAGTTAATGACCCAAAAGCAACAGGTGCTGTGTGATTTGTGGGGCCCAAAACACATTGGAATGTGGTGGCCCTTGCTCAAAAGGTATTCAAAATTTCAAGATGGTAACAACAGAGCTTTCTAAGTGCTAGCTTTCTAAGTGCCCTTCTGAGCATGATGCCCTGGGTGACCTCGCAGGTCACAAACCCAAGAAATCAGACCTGCTTCTGTATTCTGGACTGGCCATATACATTTTTTCTTATTCACTCAATCTGAACAAATGAGAGAGTAAAAACAAGTGCAAATGAGCCTGGGTCTTTAACAAAGGTATACCTTAACATGTGTTTGGATCATTGTGTTATTTAGAGTTCCAAGGACTTCTTAAAGTACTAGTGGCCAAAGAATGCATAATGCCCCATTATTAACCAACATACCTCATGATTAAGACAGTTACAAGAACAACTTTTAATTTGTCATGAGCTTCCAAAGACATTCACATGAAGATGGTATAGGACGATGTAGCAATCTTCTAAATAAAGAAGTCCCATGCCAGAATATTCAACAATGAAACCTCTGCACAATTTTCCACAGTACTATACCAAGATGACATGTTTCTTCCAGAGGGAAAGATTTCTTCAAACAAATGTGGTATGCCATGCTTCTTTGCCAAACATAATAGCCCACCCATAAAGGAGACCATGTGATGAGGTATAATAATTTTGATAGCTCATTAAGGAAACTACTTTTGATAACTGGGGAAGGTTTTTCCACTGTGCAACAGAATGATAATGCTACTTTCCTAAATCCTCTACTGACAAAGATCCCCGTGAACTTTCTGAACATTACTGGATG